AGTAGATTCTAGGTCTACCCAGCGGAGCCAGGTATTAGGCCTACTATTAGATCTTATTATTCTTATTATTACTTTTGACTTTGTCTTTTACTATTAGTATTTGTGAAGGTCGAGCATATTTGTTTTATTAATAGTTATCTTTTATAATTAAAATGAAGTTTATTATTTTACTGTCCTTACCTGAAACAAAGTATCGAGAACTGCATTTGATCAGATTCGTCTACTTTAACTCTAAACGCAAACAGTATTACTAACAGTATTTTTATTTAGAAATTTTGTCCACATATTTATATTATCTACGAAACTGTCAATAACAGTATAAGGATCTTCAATTCCTAAGAGTTCAAGTTTTTTAACGTATTTTTCCTTTTCCGCTGGTGCGGTTCTTTACATACAGTGAATGCGTCCAGCGCTGGTGAACACGTCCAGCGCTGGCGAACAGCTGATTGTGTTTACGTCTGATGTACACCACTGTGGCGGCGGGCGTAGGTATCACGAACGGACGTGACGTCATATGAAAGGACTCTATAGGGCTGGTAAGTAGGTCACCAACCAGTTCTATGGCTCATGCAGGTTTTATTGAGCCGTAGAACTGGTTGGTGACCTACTTACCAGCCCTACGCGTAGGGATTTAACGGAAATATTTTAAACTGTAGCCTATGTCGTGTCCATTTCATTTAGAACGAATGACTTGAAAATGGAAAATAAAACAAATATAAAAAAATTATAATAACAGGGGATGGGGGTGGTAGCGATATGCCTATAGAGGAAGAGAGGGGACTGCTAAGCGCGCTTACAGCTTGGTGTTTCTAGGGTCTCCAAGAAGAGAATTAGATTGATATGATTTTCACCCACTGAGGCGTAGTGCTTTAAGAGGCAGACACTAAAACTAAGGTGAAGACCCTATCCACACAAACGGATTGAGTAACAAGGCAAAACTTTATTCCACGCATCGAGGCGTAGCCACGCTGTCACGCAGGTTGATGTCAACAATGACGACAATGTAGAGGACGTAATGATGTAGACAATGACAATGTAGAGGACGTAATGATGTAGACAATGACAATGTAGAGGACGTAATGATGTAGACAATGACAATGTAGAGGACGTAATGATGTAGACAATGACAATGTAGAGGACGTAATGATGTAGACAATGACAATGTAGAGGACGTAATGATGTAGACAATGACGACAATGTAGAATACGTAATAATGTAGACAATGACGACAATGTAGAGGACGTAATGATGTAGACAATGACGACAATGTAGAAGATGTAATGATGTAGACAATGAGAATGTAGAGGACGTAATGATGTAGACAATGACAATGTAGAGGACGTAATGATGTAGACAATGACAATGTAGAGGACGTAATGATGTAGACAATGACAATGTAGAGGACGTAATGATGTAGACAATGACAATGTAGAGGACGTAATGATGTAGACAATGACGACAATGTAGAGGACGTAATGATGTAGACAATGACAATGTAGAGGACGTAATGATGTAGACAATGACGACAATGTAGAGGACGTAATGATGTAGACAATGACGACAATGTAGAATACGTAATAATGTAGACAATGACAATGTAGAGGACGTAATGATGTAGACAATGACGACAATGTAGAAGATGTAATGATGTAGACAATGACAATGTAGAGGACGTAATGATGTAGACAATGACGACAATGTAGAAGATGTAATGATGTAGACAATGACAATGTAGAGGACGTAATGATGTAGACAATGACAATGTAGAGGACGTAATGATGTAGACAATGACGACAATGTAGAGGACGTAATGATGTAGACAATGACGACAATGTAGAGGACGTAATGATGTAGACAATGACGACAATGTAGAGGACGTAATGATGTAGACAATGACGACAATGTAGAGGACGTAATGATGTAGACAATGACGACAATGTAGAGGACGTAATGATGTAGACAATGACGACAATGTAGAGGACGTAATGATGTAGACAATGACGACAATGTAGAGGACGTAATGATGTAGACAATGACGACAATGTAGAGGACGTAATGATGTAGACAATGACGACAATGTAGAGGACGTAATGATGTAGACAATGACGACAATGTAGAGGACGTAATGATGTAGACGTAACAATGACGACAATGTAGAGGACGTAATGATGTAGAATGTAGACAATGACGACAATGTAGAGGACGTAATGATGTAGACAATGACGACAATGTAGAGGACGTAATGATGTAGACAATGACGACAATGTAGAGGACGTAATGATGTAGACGTAACAATGACGACAATGTAGAGGACGTAATGATGTAGAATGTAGACAATGACGACAATGTAGAGGACGTAATGATGTAGACAATGACGACAATGTAGAGGACGTAATGATGTAGACGTAACAATGACGACAATGTAGAGGACGTAATGATGTAGAATGTAGACAATGACGACAATGTAGAGGACGTAATGATGTAGACAATGACGACAATGTAGAGGACGGTCTGTGTGTGTGTGTTAGTGTGTGTGTGCGCGCGACAGTCCGGAAAAGGTTTAATAAATTACAGTGCATGATTTTCGTTCCCTTTACTTGACACCAATTAAATTCCCCGTAAGATCAGTTAATCTTTTAAAAAAGATACAGTGTCAGAAAAAAATAAGCCTGATTTGAGTTTTAGGGGTTTTTGCAGGTGCTAATTTGTTTATGTCCGTCTTTTTAATTAATACAAGCTTTTATTTAACGCACTGTCTCTGTCGTTCTGTCGTCAGGCTAGATCGAAACGCCCGAGCGAAATTTCGCGACATTTCTAACTGACAGATTTGTTTCAACATTGGCACGTGGGTCAAGACACGAAGACAATGCAACATGACATTCAATTTGACCGAATTGGTTGCCTGATTATTTTTTATGAATTAATTAAAACGAGCTGACCCGCGACGTAGCATACGCCGCTATTTAGTTTAACTCCTATTTTTAGTAATTCATAATTTGTGGATTCGACACTACCAATGCTGCGACTTAAAATATTTTGCTTTAAAACACTATCAGTAGCTCACGAAAGACGATAATCCTCCCCCGCCCCTCCATGATAACGGCTGTCTGTGACGACAGTTTACAGACGACAATGAAAAGATTAAGGAGAACTTGGCTTCAAAATGTGTTTTAAAAAGCTGAATTATCAAACCCCACGTAGAGAATTATATATGTATATATAATATGTATATAATATATATATATATATATAATATATATAAGATAGTGTCCAAATTAGTAGGATGTCTCACCAAACTATTCCGCACTATTAGACCCGCGTCATCACGTTCATTAAGTGTGCATGGTTTGCTGTGTTTCTTCCAGACTTCTTTCTCCGGGGGGGGGGGGGGGTAGTAGACTTTCTTCGGGGGACGACACACACGGTTAAATGTATATATTTTCTATATACATTCCATTTCGTTCGGGGGGGGTGGGGGGGGGGGGTAGACTTTTAGTAACGGTATCCCCAATAGATACTTAAGTGACTCAAATTTAAATAGTGTATAATTTATTTTCTTTTTAGTGCATTATTACATAAAAGCTTGTCTTTTTTTATGAATTACGTTCTTTTTTGGGACATTCTCTGTTATGATGTTACTTAGTTGGATGAGTATGTTAGAATAAGGTCATGGGTATTGAATGGTTGATTGTATAATGAAACAAGCTAAGGGAAACAAACTGGAATCTATCGGACACAATAGATTAATAATTTAAAGTATTAGATTTAGCAGATGCGCACTGCCTTCTCGCACATAGTCAACAAGAAATGCAGAACAAATTGTATTAGTTGAAGAAGCAGTAAACACCGGTTTAATAGTTGAACCGCCCAGAAAGTTTAGATTTGAATCTAAATGCTTTTTAACTTTCTAAACCAATGTAGAATTCATACGAATTGTCATCAATATAAAAAAAAAATCACTCAGGATCTATAGCTAGATGTGAAGTCTCTTTCAGTTTCACTGTATGCTAGGCGGTTACAGTGAAGAATAGAGCGACGAAAAGGTGGTGGTTAGGGCACAAAATTTGTAAGACCATGTGAAGGTGCTTGTGAAGTCCACGGGGAAAGAAAAGACCAACAAAGCCACGAAGGAAAACGTTTGAAATAGAAAATGGGGAGGCTGGATTATCAGGGTTCAACAATCTTAAAAATCATTTGAGTTCAGTTCAAGTATTGCCTATGCTCCTTAGGAAGCGGAAACTAATAAAAAGAAGAAAAATTGTGGGTTATTTAGCGTCCAGAAACTTCTAACAAGTTCATTTTTACAAGCTTTTATTTAACTGACTTCCTCTGTCGTCAGTCTAGACCGAAACGCCGATACGATTCAGTTGGCACGTGGGTCAAGACATGAAGACAATGCAATATGAAATTAAATTTGACTTAATTGGATGACTAATTTTTTAAGAATTAATTAAAATTTGGACCGAATCAGTAGGCCTGTCTATCCAACCACACCACACGCGTCATCACGTTCAGTAGGCGCGCAATGGTTTTTAGTCATGTAACTCTATTGTAAATAAAACTTGTAAAGTACTGAAAAAAATTCATAAAAACTTTTAATAACAAGCTTTTACTTTTATGCACCAAAAAGTAGAAAATAAATTATAGACTATTTAAATAACTGTAAAGAAAAGCGTGGATCTCTTCCTAAACTTTAGTAAAGGTATCCTATTCACAAAACTGACAATCTACAGAAAATTAATTTAGCTTAGAAGACTGAAGCCACCTCAAGTGTGGCATTTGACAAGAGTACTGGTGGCTTGAGGAATTCAAATGATTCCTTTTAGATAGAGGCCAGCAGTGAAATAATTCAACAGGTGTACTAGTTAGATCAGTACATTGTTACTATTTCATTGATAGTATTGCAATGGCAGTAAATTTCTTTAGATGGACATTCTCTAGTTGTACTTTTTAAGTAGAGAAAACTGTTCACTTAACATTTAAAAGAACAACTCAAAGCATTTAAAATTGTACAATGATGTATTTATACATATTCTCACGGTGCATCATGATGAAAGTAATGAAATGACACTGAATGAACAACATAGGCATGACAAATAAATGGATAAGTATTTAAAAACATTACATTAACTAGTTAAGTTCAATGGAAAAAATCCTACCAAATTAAAATGTCACATTAAAACTCATACTTGTACAAAATGTATACCTTTCCATGATGGAAAAATACTGGAAGTGAAACTAAAAAATTCATTGATTACAAAAATACAAAAGCCAGTCTGTTTAGTAAGGCCGGGATCTTCTGTCATCTCTGTTGCTGAAATTGTACAGGAATGTGTCTCAAATATTGATCAACAATCATCTCTACATATAAACAATGTTTTAGCACAACTTAAATTGGACTCACCGATCAAAGCCTCCCCTGCCACCTCGGTCACCACCTCTTCCACCCCTGTCACCTCCACGGCCTCCTCTGAATCCACCCCTGTCTCCTCTGTCACCACCGTCTCTTTCTCTGTCTCTAAATCCACCACCACCACCACCTCCACCGCGGCCTCCACCACCACCACCAAAGCGGTCACCTCCACCACCACGCCCAAAGCCACCGCCGCCACCACCTCTTCCTCTGCCACGACCTGTTGAACAAATATTGTGTAATATTAAATGGGTCAAATTACAGCTACCATATACCATTGTAAATAAAATAACACTCATCTAAAAAAAAGTGTAAACAAAAAAAAAACTAATATTACACCAATAAAAATGTATTTTAAATGCTAAAAAATTTCAATGTAGTCACTGGAGCTACTTTTCCCCCCAATTGTTATAAATAAAGACCGATTCAACGGCAGAGGCATTTAAATTAGATTTCACTTCACTAATTATAGCCATCATAATCTTAAAAAAAAACTTTAACCACCAGTGATAGAACAACATTAATAAAACTCATTAATTTCTGCTTCTGCCACATCTTCAAAATCTAGTTAGCAAAGAGACTTATGATACAACGTGTAAATAAACCTACTATACACAGCAAGGTGACCAATTTCTAATGATGAAGTCTGGATGAAATTTTTTTAAATTACACTAAATTTTGGCCTTAGTGCTAAAAAATAAATTGTAACTACCTGTTTTCCAGGGTATCCATGCTAACAGATAGTCCCTGACAAATTAGCTAAAGAGGCAGAGTGCTAACATACCATAAAACCTATGCTATACAATCTATTCAACAGCTTGTTGGAAGATGCATAAAAAATATAACTTACCCCTTTCATCACCACTACCACTGCTGCTACCACCACCAGGTCGAGGTGCATGACATCTATTACATGAGTCTCTCCATGCAAAATTTGTATTTCCACAATCACTAAGACAATAAAATATTTGATAGATAGTACCACTGGAGACACAAAATTTGTAACCAGACACTAAAAGACAAATTGTAAATGAACCTACTCAACAGGGCATGTCCAATCTCCTTCTCTTGCAGGGCCACCACCACCACCACCACCACCGCCCATGCTACCGCCACCACCTCCACTACCACCAAAACCTGCAAAAGTAAACAAAGAATGTCATTTAAAAACAGTTACAGCAAAATAAGTGCAATGAAAAAAAAAATAGAATACAAAGTCACAATCTATAAACATCTAACTGCTGTCGTAATTTCAGATGAAGGGCCTGTTATAATCTTTCTGTGGCGCAACTGACTAAAATGTCAAACTCACCACAGAAAATAATTTTAAGTTGACGAAGCATACAGTTACATTGTTTAATCTGTAAGTTACATGCATTAATACTTTTTGAATTAGCTTTTACTTAGAAAATTACTATAGGACTTCATTTTATTATTTTAAGTGGTAAGAGAATAGGCAATGACATTCATGTGTGGTTAGTGTCAATTAGAAATAAGGAATTTTTTTAAAAGGTAAATAGAACTACATTTTTAAAGAAATACTTATTGAAGTAAAAAAAATAAATAAGGGTGGGTTGAATACAGGAGCTGAGTGGTCTAATTCTACCTTAATTCCCAATGTCAGTATCTATGCAAACAGTATAACTAATCATTTGCTTATAAGATAAATATACTTTCAGGAACCCTTATATTATTTTCAAGCTTATAAAGGTTGAAAACAGCATGACTCAATAGAACACATGCAATTGACAGTTAGGGTTAGGAATTGTGGGAATTAGAAATAGCATACCTCCACGCTCACCACCTCTTCCACCTCGATCACCACCACCTCTACCCCCAAAACCACCACCTAAAGAAAGAGCAAGGCAAGGTTTTTAAGAACTTAACTAAGAATTGGGAAAATACAAGATACCATTAACACAAGAGACAAAGTTTTGACATGTAACCATATTTTTGGGTTTAAACCCAGCTCCCTAGATCAATGTCCACCCTAATGAGAAACAGACATGCCTACCCCTGTCAGCCAAAAGTAGGAACAGTTATGCCTAAAAAGAGGAATTTAAAGCCAAAAAGAGGAACATACACGCGGACGCAACTTTACTAAGTCAAAAATAAAAATAATGAATTAAAAATCACTCCAATGACATTAGTAGGCTTCTAGTCCTATATAACTAGTCTCTAGGATACATTTAAATACTGCTTAATGTCAGCTTACATTAACAAAAAAAACACACCCCCCCCCCCCCCCGAATAAAAATCATAGCTTTGACATAACTTTATTGATTTGATTATTTATGTCTTGCTTTGTTCTAGGCTATATAAATAACAAATGCTGAAGGCTTCATCATATGTAATATATAATATAAGTTACGAGCAAAGACCCTTGATCTACCTAGTAAGACTCCTAGTTACTTCTTACTAAGTTACTAGTTAAGTTAAACTTACAAGATAGATCAGTATTCACTATTTCAGTATCTACTAGTAGATCTAGTTACAATTCTAGATCTAGTAGTAGTAGATATACTACTAACTAGATCTATTACTAAGATGCTACTTGTAAATATTTTAAGTAAACTAGGAAACAGAAACGTGTGCCAAATGGAGATAATTGCCTTTCCTGACATTTTTTTCAATTTACTTTATTACCTTTCTTTATTAATTTTTTTTCAAAAAAATCGGAGATAACTGAGTCAATTTCGGAATGACGGAACAAATTACATTTTTAGGTAAAAATGCGGGACGGTTCCGATTTTGGCGGGACGGTAGGCATGTCTGGAGAAATTACAAGTTTTCAACATGAACTTGGAATAAATGAGAACAAAAACATGGAAAAATAGTGATAAGGAAAAAACTTACCACCCCTACCAGGTGGTCCACCGCCACCACCACCTCGACCTCCTCCTCGACCAAATGCACTTCTTTGTCTCTGTGCTAGTTCCACCTTAATTACTCGCCCATTGAAGTCTTTTCCTGCAATTTTAGAGCCATCAAGAAAACTTTAAACCAAAGAAAGAATGCACATTACTATATTGTGATAAGCAAGCAATCAGACAATGTCATTCAATAGCAATCTAAGAACTGGAAATGGTTTTAAGTGTACTTAACAGAAAAAAAAAAAAAAAAAAATCACAAAAATATAAACATACCATCAAACCAATCAATAGCAGCTTTAGCAGTATCAGGATCATCAAAAGTAACTGTAGCTTCCCCCTTTGGCAAGTTGGTCATTTTGTCCTTGTATATCCATACTTTTGGCGTATTGGTTTTTTTATCAGTCTGTGAGTCAAATAGAAAATATGTTCACTATTGATAAAATGTTACATTAGCACTTACTTTCGGCCATTTAGAACAGGTAAATTTACCTTTATCACACCTATGCTGCCAAAATGCTGAACTAAAAGATCTTCTGATACATCTTGACCCATATTGGAGACAAATATTGTGTCTTGTTGTACTTCCATATCCCTTCCAGCTCCATATCCCCCACCACCACCACCGCTGCCACGGTCACCACTGCCACCGCCTCGTCCTGAAAGATTAAAATTTTTAAATACATTTCTGTAGGGGAAGAAAACTAAATATGACATATATAAACAACTTAGTTGTAACAGTGGTATAAATACTTTAAAAATCATTTGAGAAAAATCACAGCAAATCAGTTTTTATTTCTAATAAAAAAAGCACTTATGAGAGAACTTTTCAGTCAATTAACTTATTTAAAAATAAAACCCCTCACTCATCTGTCAAGCTTATTTAGCATTGATAGGGGTCTCAATATGTTTTAGTATAAGTGATTACACTATATAAAATCATTAGACAGTGATTGTGACAAAGATTACACAAAAACCCTTATTCTAATGTGTAGTCTTATTTAGCTTTTGAAAGTATATAATACAATGTTATATGACCAAAATTGTTCCCAAGGTCAATAGTTTGATCATCAACCTGTTTGGCACAATCTGTATTCTATTTACAGAAATTTTATTCACCATTAAAGGCAGGGGAAAAAAGTGTAAAAAGTAAACCTACACTGGTTAGGTATTAAAAATCACTTATAAGGCCCATGTAATGCTAGTAAGTAAGCACAGGTATACATCATATCCATTAAATAGTTCAACAGTCAACATTGGTACATAGGTTGTTTTCATGAAAAGGAACCATAAATGTTTTACTACTAATTCCTAAATATTTTTACACCTTTATATTGAGTATCTTAAGAGTGGTAAATTTTACAACCTTTTATTATAATACAGAAAAACCCTTTGTTTTATGTTTTATAACCACACCATATGAGACAGGGCTTAAAGATGCTGCAGAACATAATTTACACAAACTCTGTTCAATAAGCAGACCATAATTTTACAACCTGAACAAGTAATGTTTATAATATACACATAACTGCCAAATACCGACACAACTTAATTATTGAATGAATGAAACTATATTCTTTGTTCAAGTAATTACACTCCTCTTTTGCTCCCCCTCCCAGTACTTTTGGGTTTGCAGAAATGTTCAACAATATTTGTAACCAGCAGTAAGTGGAAACCACATAATGGCTTACTTAAAGGGTGTTGCACTGATGTAAATGTATAAGCAGTGGATGGGATTTGGATGAAATGTGTACATATTGTGTGAACCCAACCAGTGCTCTGGCAATAAGGCCAGAATTCTGAACCATTTACAAGACACTATGAATAGAACCACACTTGTATGATTATATGAGCACAATAGTAATGAATTTTCACTATAGTGTTGATTTATGACTGGTTTCCAAAATTAGGTGGTGTTATTTAAGCTGCAATTAGGGTTTGACATTTCTCTTCGCCAGACCTGGTTTGTAATGCGATAAGGCAAGTCCTGTTCAACAAAATAAAACCTGACTATATAAAATGTTTTAACTATAATTGTAAAAAGCTGGCCATCGGGGAATACAGAAAATATTTCCAGTAGACCCTGTAAGGACCATGGGACTTACCACCCCTATCTCCAAATTTGTTGAATCCGCCGCCACCTCGACCACCACTGGAATGAAGTATCAAGATGAAGTTAAATAACCGCAGCAGTCCTGCACAAGTCCTGTTCTTAGTTGCCAATCTCCAACTTCTAGAGTGTGGCTAAATACACCCCACACCCAATATTCACCCAACTAGTTTCTTTTGTTTGCCACTCAAAACCTTAACACTTCCAGATAGCTAACAACATTGTTATGAAGGAGACCTTATTAAACGCATAGCAGCATTATAACCACCTGAGTGTTCTAAATCTTAAGGGCCAGTACACTTGTTTTAAAAAATCCAGGCACAAATTAAACCAGTGATATACCTAGTTATTGTACTGCTTTGTGGCTCTGATAATCATTAACATACAATTGTCAATGTACTTACTTTCAAGTTACAAGAGTAAACCAGTTGGCTTACACACTTTATTACACTTTACACAAAACCAGTAACATTTAATACATTACTAACATTTTTCAGAATACCTGGGTGCTCACTGACACTTCTAAAGCAATCCTTTGAAAAAACAACCATTACATAACTTTAAATGTATGTATGTAAGCATGGCATGTAAACATTTTCCATGGAAATGAACCTATTTGTCAGTGAATAAATTGGTAACCAGTATCACAGTACATGTTGAAAGATGTACACCTAAAAACCACTAATATGGTTTACATAGTACTTACCATGATAATTGCTTTTGCATAACAGCGAAAAACCTGTCTTCTCATTAAGTAAACAAACCTTTTAATCCATAAAAATACAGCCAATACAAACACCATTTAAACATGTAATAAATATAAGTACCTCTATCACTTTAGCACCAGCAGTTCTGGCGGCTCAGTAAAATACTAAGACAAACAAACCCAGATTATGACTCAGATTTACATCTACTTAATCTATGTTTAAAGCATTATAACTTTAAAATATTTTAAAACACCAACTCATGTACTCAATATAAAACTTTTTGCTTTTAGACTTCATGCACCCTAGGAAATCTATGATGAAACAGTACAAGAAAAAAAAAAAAAAAAGGAAGGGCGAAAAACAAATTGAAGAAAAAAAATTGAGCAGCAAAGTTGTAATTTTTAAATAAATCATGCGTCAAGAGAATATTTTCTTACATTACTGTTTGTGAATTTTACACTAAGTTTGCACAAGCAGTACAAATTTAACTGATGACAATCAGAGCCACATAACAAAACAATTTACCATGATTGCCACAATATGGCTGATCCAATGCTCCAATACCATGTCAAAATAACCAGAATTTATTAAATTTTAAACCTTTTGCAATGATGTAAACCATGTATACATTACGGTTCTTTGTGTTATGCTAAAGAACCCTTTACAATAACCTTTAGTTTACACCCACAAGTTGGATTACTTTAGCCATCAATGCAAGTAATACAAAAATTTAAGAACCTGCTTAAAACAAGAGTGATGAAGCATTATACAATATTACTTGATACAAACTGAATTTATCCAATATAGTGATGAATCCCTTAACCATATCCATGTTTTGTAGTCAGTATTATTCTAGTCATAATTACTAACTTTTATAATTCTAAATATATGCTAATTAGGTATATAATATTTTAGTGCATAAAACTTGCAAAATGGTTTTAGTGAATGAAGTAGTACAGCCGTACTTGTTTATTAAAGCAAAAATAATCAACATACCCATATCCACCTCCACGATCTCCTCCTCCGCTACCTCCACGATCTCCCCCACGTCCACCTGGAGGGTGATAAGATAATGTGATTATTAGTTAACTTTACATTACAAACTTTGTGTTAACATATTGTAAATAAAAACTTAGTTCATAAATCTAAAAGCTATACCTCTGGTAAAACCATCACTACACTGATAATTTTAAAAAAAAAACACCATACACACACAGGCCTGCATAAAAAAAATCTTGCGGGACTTTGATGATTGAAATCCTTTTCAATAACAACTCTCTACTTACGGCCACCCCCAAAACCTCCTCTACCACCACCCTCAAAGTTGTCTCTACCTCCAAAACCTCCACCATTGCCTCCTTGGTTGAAGCCGCCTTCACCACCTCTAGGGCCACCTAATTATGTAAAGCAGATATATTTTTGAAGGGTGCACTAGTACTTACAAATTTCAAAATCAAACCCCTTTAACCCTCGCAGTACTTTTGTGACTATGGAAAATTGCTATCAGTATCAAGCAAAAGGAATTAACTATGCTAACTGCTATCCACTGACATTAAAATCAACTTGTCATCCAGTCATAAAAAAAAGGTAATTGCAGCAAAATTTTATTTAAAATACAACAAAAAAATATTTAAAAAATCAAATTTTATCCAACAGAACAGAGAGCACCCTTTGGTTAAATTTTACATTAATTTAGTGTTATTAACTTGAAAATATCTTGAAGTTCAAATCTAGACTAGATCATTAATAAAAAGTAAAAAAATATATATACAAAAGCAGCAATAAGAAATACTAAAAATAGCCTGAGACTTCCTTTTAAAAAGGGCTGGGTTCATGATGGAGTTGGCAGTTAACTTTTTAGTTCATGCACATCATAGACTTTTATTTAATTGCAGAAACAAATGATAGCTTTTTACTTACGTCCTCCAAATCCGCCTGCGCCACCACTGCTTCCAAAGCCTCCACCACCACCTTGGTTATAACCACCATTACCAGCACCACCAAAGCCTCCCTGACTCTATAAAAAACATTAACATAAACTTGATGTATCAAATAGGCTACCTACAAAAATCAATACAAATGAGTAAAATTTATTGACATAAGCATTCAGGCTAATATAAAAAATGAGTTATTATAATTAAACATCAAATTACCTGCTGCCCATAGCCACCACTTGTTTGTTGAGCACCATAACCCCCAGACTGAGAGTATGGATCTGGAACAGCCCCTCCTGACTGCCCATAGCCACTTCCTGCTACACCACCTGGTTGTGCAGATTGATCATAACCACCTGAATAAAATAGAAAAGGCCAAGTAAAACTTATTTGTTTCTTTTTTAATATAAAATTAAAAAAAAAAACCCAACAGTTAAGAATGAACAAATGTCTTACCTCCCTGCCCATAAGCACCAGACATATCCCCTCCCTGTTGACCATACCCTCCTTGCTGACCATAGGCCATTGACATGCTGCTTCCACCTAGTTAATGAACAAAACCCTTAGTTGTCCTCAAGTGATTTGACCAACACATGTTAACAATAACTTAATATGTGCACGCAAAATAGTTACCATAATTTGGTTGAGATTGTGCCTGAGCACCATACTGTGACGAGGGTTGATTCTGAGACTGAGGTGCACCAGCTCCTCCTGCATAAGCATTTTGATCATATCCAGGATAAGCTTGCTGACTCTGCTGTTGTTCGTATCCCTTTATAAAAAATACATTCACAAGCTTTTTAAAACGATCAGTATAATAAAACCAGTAGGGAACATGTCTTAAGTCAGTGATTATATTCTAATGTTCTGCTCAGAAGATACATGAGTCAGCATATTATTATCAGTGACTCTAGCCAAGATTTCATCATCGCGAGAAGAATCAAAAGAGATGGTATGCTAAAAAAGACAGACATTATGCTCAGAAGACACATGAGTCAGCTTATTATTATCAGTGACTCTAGTCCAAGATTTCATCAGTGCAAGACAAAACAAAATCACAAGAGATGGTAAGCTAAAGAAGACAACAGGGAATAATAAAAAATGAATATTAATAAAACCTTGCTCAGAAGAAGTCTATTCATCTGACAAGAATCAGCGACTCTAGCCAAGTTTTCATCATCACAAGGCATTAGATAGCGACAAATCATTTATAGAAACAGTGGCAACAAATAATAGCAATTAGGTGATAACATGCTGTTAATGTTAAATGGAATATTTAATTCCCCCCACCCCCCCCCCCCCCAACTCACGGAGGAACCTATGAATTAAACAATTAAGGTACAAAAGTGTCATTTGAAACAAAATTCTAAAACGATTGCTATGTAAAATTACTACAGGCATCTAGAAAAACTAAAAATTTGTCCTTGTTCAGAAGACACATGACGCTTCAAAGGAAAATCAGTTACTGTAGTGTTTCATCATAACAAGGCAATAGTATGATAAAATAAACAATTTACCCCAGAAGCTGGCTGTGCATAGCCCTGTTGACTTCCATATGCTGTATCAGCTGCACCATACCCACTGTAGTTGTAGCTATTTAAACATAAATAATTGAAAATCATTCAAAACAAACATGCACAGGAACAAAATAGCAAAGTCAAACCGGGGTTTAGATCAACTCCGATCTGGCACTTTTTTTAAATTAAAAAATACTTGGACCCCCCACCCCCAAACTAGACATCATATTATATAAGGCTGTTTCTACTTTTATTTCTCATAAGTGACATTAAGTCTCTGGATTTTTTTTCTTCTTGATATTTAAAATAACTCTTCCAGTACTGTTTAGCATGTAGCCATAAATGGAGAAATTAAAAAAAAAAAAGTCCACTTTGTTGGGGTTAAGCAAAAAAAATGGGAAATGGGCTGTGACCTAGTTTTAAGTAGGAGTAGGTATCAAAGTAAAAACATGTAGTAAACTATAAAAAAAAATACACACCCTCCTTGACTGGCTGTCGGAGGCTGACCATAGGCACCATATTCTGAAAAATAAACAAATGTCACTCTTAAACAACACAGACTAAAGTATTAGAATAAATTGACATTTTTATGAAGAAAACATTGTATGGATACTGCCTAACAAACTGCTTATTTGAAACTATAAAACTAGATGACTAACAGCCTAACAGCTATTTTTAGAAGAGTCTATGAACAGACATCAGTATCCTCAACGATCTTATTAAACTAAGTAATTTAGCATCAAATGAACTGAAACCCTCAATCGGACATGAACATGCAGACAAGAATCCTTGCATCTTTTATTGATATGTAGGCCTATGAAAATTATGTTTTTTTATTTTAGATTTTACAATCAAACTGACATACTGGTTTTTTTTTTAACAACTTAAGCTTGAAAACAATGCTTTCTGCTGGGCTGAGATGTAAGTAGTCATCTATGATAACTACAGAAGGATTAGAAAATTTATGGTGGGTTAAAAACAGGTGGGGGCAGATGTGGTTTTATAGTCATGTCTATTAGGGAAAAAAGTTCCCAAATGGAACATAGTAGGCCTAAATGTGAACGTTAATGGGGGGTTTTCTACTTAAACAATAAAAAAGGAGTGTTCGCTGACATATTAGGGCTCTCACATTGGAGCGAATGGTGACACACAAAAATTGATATTAATTAGGAATATAGCATTTAGATGAAAATTATATCTAAATCTATCTTCTGATTATAAAGTAAAAACAATGAATAGGGCCTACATGAAGTAAAACTAGCCCACTAATGAAGACATAGGAGTGGTCAGAGTTGGTCAAAGAACAAATACAATGTATTGGACACTTCAGTTTTCGGCTTATAGAAACTTAATTTTAACAATTTTAAAATTGATAAAGGGTAAGTATACCAAATTACAAAACCTGCAATCTAACTAAAAACTATTCATATTTTCAGTTTAAAAAATAAAAATGATCATCGATGAAGAAAGCGTAAACATTCTATTTTTAGGTGTGACAAAAAAAGTCATAAATCTAGCCAAATGATTGGATTCTTGCGCAGCACACATTTTCCCGCGCCTCATTTACACACACAAAAAAAATATTATAATAAAATGGCATTATTGAGGGGTGATCATTTGGACCGACGGATCTTATATACCCAACCATAAATTATTACCAGTTAATTGTAATGTGTGTAAAATTCATACTTTCAAGTTTTATATACACAGTCTGGTTTATTATAAACGGGGTATTTTAAAGTTATTTGATTTGAAAGATAAGAATTATATAGAGCTACTTTCACTAAGACGCCACTTGCGAGACAAAGAAATTAGGTCAAAAGTAGATCTGACAATTCTTAAATAACAGACTTAATTGAAACGGATAGTTCCGATTTCTAAAACTGACAACGGCTTCGTAGTTATTAGTTTTATCCCTCTACCAAATAGTGAAAGCGAAACAGGTCGCCATTTTTGGTCAGCCCATGAGCCGTGAGATGGCTTCAAAACAACAAGCCCGGAAGCTGTGAATGGAATGGCCTACCTAATTATAATTGAATCTTCTTTATGGTAAAACTCCATTTTAGCGTATTTTATTCTCCACTTCTTGTTTACCTCCAGTTGAGAGTATTTTATTATAATAACCGAAACACCAAAACATTAGGAAAACACGATTTATTTATTTGTATTGTATTTTTGTTTTAACAAATGAATAAAAATGAAATTAAAAAACAAAGAGACTGACTTTGTTTTAGATTTTGATAATTTACTTTTGTCAAAACTTGAGAAAAATCCAAATTTAGAATAATGAATGTAGGGATTTGGTAAAAAAGCACTAATCATCATATAAAAATTACATATTCTTGTAGAGCTCAACTATGTGAAAACAAAACAAAAAAGATTTTTTTGTCTAGCTCAAATAGTTTTATTTTAGCGAATCTTTTTGTGAGGGGTGGAATCCCTTTGTTTTTGCATTGGCCAATTGTGACAAGTCATGGTATACCTGAAAAAATTGAGCATTGTTATTTTACTTGCAGTTGTATTTTGTTCATATTTGCAGAGTTTAGCTAGAATGATATATAGAACTTGTAAATGCTGTTGAAATGAATAAAAATGATACAGAACTTATATTTTTGTGTTGGCTTCCTCCCATAACCCCAAAAAACTGCTGCGCAAATATGAAAATGTTTCTAAAGCCATATTTTATATAAATACAGCAAATGAAAGAACTACAAAGCTAGAAATCTAAAGCAAATGGCTTGAACACTTATGTGCATATATTATAATTGCCTCATTATTTTGGGCAGGTGAAGTAGAGTCCATCTTTAAGCCATTTTGTTATAAAACTGCTGCGCAAATATGAAAATATTTCTAAAGCAATATTTTTATATAAATACAGTGAATGAAAGAACTACATAGTCAGAAATCTAAATGACTTGAACACTGTAATGTGTATATAACTGCCTTGTTATTTTGGGCAGGTGAAGTAGAGCCCATATAAACCATTTTGTAATAAGTGAAGTGAAGTTATCAGATCAATGTTTTTATGTGTGAATTGTGTATGGATTCTGATTTTCAGCATATAACTATATCTAATGGTAAGTAGAACTTGAATAATTAAAATTACAGTTAGCACAATGCTAGTGTATAGCAACAGAAGGTAACCTAGGTCTGACTCTAGTCAGTCTATATCTAGTGTGACAAAATTGGATTTTAGGAAAAACATACTGCAAAACTAGAACTAGAGCTGAAAAAATTAAAGATGGGTATGTAAATATATTTTGAAAACAAAAATTAGATTTGTTTGCACATTCCATAAGAATGCTGTTGTTAGTTGATCAAACTTAAAGGCCGGAAGATCGGGATGAAAAAATATAACAATGGTGGCAACGCGACCTACATACAGTGACCACCTCTGGATGAGTATATCTAATGTCGGAGTCAAAATATCCAAAAACAAATATCATTACCACATACATAAGATATGTCTGCTCAGTAATCTTCTCTCATCTAGAATAACCTTTTAAAAAATCATGATTCCAACGTATTTGAAACTAGCCTTCATACAGGGGGAAGACCAAAGCAGAGACAGCGCGCAATCAGATCGCTAAGCCATCAAAACAATGGGAAAACCATTCTACTTTTCATTTAACATTAGGAAATGACCGTTTAAACTTAATTACCATCAATTAAAAACTTAGTATGCAAAACCAAATCTCGTGCGCCCGGTATAAAAAAGTAATGGGAGATTTCGGGTCATGTTTTTACCGCGATCTCGGCTGATACCGACAACCCCAATGAATGATATGAATGTGCTATATGCTCATGTGTCGTAATTTTCATGGCAATGGGTGAAATACGTAAATGTAACTCACAATTGCAAGGCGGTTAAGTTTGTATTGTCACAATTATCTCCCAGGCATGATACTAGATCTAATAAATAAACATTTATGAACTGACAATGATCCCAAAACTGAGGCCAACACAATTTCAAACAGCTATTGCCTGATTAAAGTCTAGTCAATGTGAACTCACTGTGAACCCGCGACTGTGTAAGGATTTTTCTCACGCGGACGATCACACGACATTTAATTGGTAGTATTTCTCGCTAACTTGGAGGCGTGGTCGGTTGCTAACAACAATATGGCGCCCGGACCGGACGTTTGATTTCCGGCGATTTTACGGCCAAATTCCAGAGACCTTCAACTAATTACATTTAAAAATGTTTACCACGCGCAAAATGGCGGGATTTCCGTGTCATAACAACAAACCACAAGTGGCAGGGTTAGATATGCCAGAAAAGCATTTTAAAATTTGGTTTGGAGAACGGAGGCTAAATTCAAAAGTCGGTCTCATTCAAATTAATAGAACTTCTAAAATATCAGCCCGGAGGTCACAAAAATTATTTGGAGGTTGTAGAATTATTAGTTTTATCATTATATGAAGAAATAAATCAAATATTGCATGCACTTTTTAAAATAAGACACGACTTTTGAATGACAACCAAATTTATTTATTTTTTTAAACCACGTGACCGCTATTTGATGATCACTAGTGGGGAACTCTGGGTACATGGCCACTTAAAAAGTCTAACCTATTTGTGGTTTTCTTTACGTTCAAGCTTAAGTAGAGTTGTCATGGAGAGGTGTGTTGGCCATGGCAGTGGTGAGTGTCAATAAATATTAAATTAAGTAATTTAGTTTAAAATGAACTAAAAACTTCAAAATTAGTGCCTAATGGATTAAATATGGATGTCTATCATTCAGTAGTCATGTTGGGAGAATGTTCACACCGGTGTCTGATAATGGAATCTTCTTTAAAAAAGGAGTGTTAGGTTACTGGAAGTTAACTAAATACACACATGGCTGGCTAATGTCAATGCTAACCCTGTCCCTAACCCTAACCCCAACCCTGGTCCAACCATACGCCTAACCCTAATTTCTAATCATAAAATTAGTTGAGATTACAATACTACTAACAACCCAACACCCCTTTTTTAAAGAAGATTCCATTATTGGACACTGGTATCTATAATCATCCGTCATGTTTAATTTGAAATTTGAGTAAATTCTAGATTTAGTAAGAAAAACTATTAATTGGAACAGTTCTAGATTCTAGATCTAGGCCCTAATCCTTTTTTAATGTTTTTTTTTACCTTTTCTAATTAAAAATCACATTAATAAAAAAATAAGTAAATCTAGTGTTTTCCTAACGTTTTTGTGTTTCGGTTGTGTTTATAATAAAAATACGCTCAACTGGAGGTGAGCTCTACTGGAGGTGAGCTCTACTGGAGGTGAACGGCAAGCTGGGAATAAAATACGCTAAAATGGAGATTTACCCTTCTTTATTAAGATTAAGGCAGTGTTAGGTTAAAGTTGTTAACTAAATACATACATGGATCTAGATGCTAAAATTGTACATTACAAAAAACAAATAGAAATCTAGATTCTAGGAGGGAGAAAAAAATAGC